TCCAATTGCCTATATTAGTAAGTCACTGGCTCCTAAACATCAATCTATGTGTGTTTATGATAGGGAGCTATTAGCTCTCATCTTTGCTGTCACGAAGTGGTCACACTATCTCCTAGGAAGGTACTTTATTGTCAAAACTGACCAGAAGGCATTGAAATACCTGTTGGAGCAAAACATACATACAGAGTTCCAAGTAGCTGGAATCTCTAAGCTCATGGCTTTTGACTTTTCTATTGAGTGTAAGAAGGGAAATGAGAATAAGGTCGTTGATGCTTTGTCTAGAAATAAGGAAGCTGAACTTCTAGCTATTTCATTGTTGTCCCCTAATGATCCCTTATATGCTCAGATTAAAGAAACTTGGTCTTCAGATGGTGCATTACAGGAGCTAATTACAAAATTACAAGTTCAATCTTTCAGATCTTATACTTGGATTAATTCTCAGTTGAGGTGAAAAGGCAGATTGGTTGTAGGTGCAGACCATCAACTCAGGCAATCTATTATTACGTTGTGGCACTCTACTCTCCAGGGAAGTCATTCAGGCATGGATGCAACAATCAAGAAGTTAAAGTCTCTATTTTTCTGGAAAACTCTTTCCCAGGATACTAGAGAATTTATTAACAAATGTGACATTTGTCAAAGGCATAAGTATGATGCATCGGCTTATCCTGGATTGCTGCAACCTCTTCCAATCCCTAAAGGTGTTTGGACTGATATTTGCCTTGATTTTATAGAAGGTCTTCCTAAGTCTAATGGCAAAGAGGTGATTCTTGTTGTCGTAGAGAGGTTGAGCAAGTATGGGCATTTTATGAGTTTGCAGCATCCTTATACTGCTCAGTCAGTGGCCAATGATTCCTAGATAATGTTTACAAGCTTCATGGCATGCCTGTTACAATGACAAGTGATAAGGACCCTATATTCCTTAGTTCATTTTGGCAAGAATTTTTTGCTCTACAGGGTGTCCAGTTACAAAGATCCACTGCTTATCACCCTTAGACTGACGGTCAAGCAGAGGTTTTAAATAGAACCTTGGAGACTTATCTTAGGTGTTTTTGCTCTGACAGTCCTCGCAATTGGTCAGCTCATTTACCACTAGCTGAATGGTGGTATAACACTACATATCATACTACAATCAAATGCACTCCTTATGAAGTTTTGTAGTCAGAAACCTCCAATACATCTTCCCTATTTGGTTGGTGAAGTTGTTACTGATATGGTTGATCGATCAATAGCTGCTAGAGAAGCCGTAATACAGCTGTTGAAATTCCATCTGGCCAGAGCTCAGCAGAGGATGAAAGACATGGCTAACAAGCATAGGTCTGATAGGAGCTTTGTGGTAGGAGATTGGGTTTATCTGAAATTACAACCCTATAGACAAATCTCAATTGCTTCCAGGCCATTCAATAAGCTTGCAGCAAAGTATTTTGGTCCTTATCCTATTACTGTGAAGGTTGGAGTTGTTGCTTATTGGTTACTACTACCTGCATATGTTTTGATTCACCCAACATTCCACTTGTCTCAACTTAAGAAATGCCATGAAGTTCCTGCTACCATTTCTCATCCACGCGTATTGCATTTATCCAGTCCTTACTGTCCTGATCCTGAAGGCATCTTGAGCAGGAGGTTGGTCAAGAAAGGAAACAAGGATGCATGTCAAGTCTTGCTTAAATGGTCAGGTGTTGATGCTGCTCAAGCTACTTGGGAGTACCTCACTGACTTACAACATAGATTTCTTTCCTTCACCCTTGAGGGCAAGGGTGTTCTTGATTAGGGAGTATTGATGCAATTGCAGAATTCAGCCTTGAGAAGAAGCTGAGTTAGTAGAGTTAGTACTGGTAGAAGTTAGTTACAGTTTGTTATAAGAATTTAGCGAAAGTGAGTGGTAGTTAGCAGTATAGATTCCTTCATTCAGCTAAAGTATAAGTATCACAATAATTGTATTGTACATATTCATTCAGATATAATAACATCTCTCTTCTCTCTATACTCTCTCTCTTACGAGTTAGCTAAATATCTCGGATCAGTCCCTGATTTAGCCTCATCTTCCTCGAGCTGCAACTCCTGAATTAGTTCTTTTCATCTTAATTCTTCTTTGTTGCATCAGAAAGATTTCGAATTAAATTTTGAATTTACACAATTAGTAACCTAAAGAATAAAGTTCATTATGATATTAATCTCTTGCTTTATATTCAGACCAAATTAAATATCTTTTTCACTATTGATGTAGCCAAATGACGTATTACCCAAATCTTCTAGTTTGTTTTAATGAACTAGCTCTCGGATTTAACCATGTAGTATATCTTAGTTGGAAAAAAATCCTTAATAAATTTTCTCACAAGAAGGTCTATAAGAGTCTAATATTTACTTTTGATTTATTTCATTCCAAACAATTAAGAAGTTGTAATTGTAGAAAGTTTATCCCCTTCTTCTTTTCTACTTTTTTGGTTATTTTATTTTTCTCCGTCAAGTTGTGGGAAATTAAAAACTCGAAAACTAGGGTTCGAAAATGTCTAAATTATTCAACCTTTATCTAATTGGTATCGACAAATTTTGCTTTGTGTGAAGGACATATAAATCATTGTAGTTTATGTGATACTCATTGTTGGGTAAGTGGACATACTAGTAGAAAAAGTGAACACGTGGACACTGTGGACCGATTGTAACGAACAAATTGTATGGGTCAAAATTCGACCGAGAAAATTTAGCACGAGGATGTGATTATTGTGAGATTTGTAACTATCATGGGCAGTTTGGCCGAGGTCGATCAGTGATCAACAGAACAGGCCACTGAGCGGCTTTTGGGGCCGAGGTCGAGTAGCATGCAGAGATGTAACGGATAGTATAGTTTTGGAATTTTCAAAAGGAAATATTCTTTTGAATATTCCTCTTGTTGTACCTTTTAGGGTTCTTTGGAAATATCCCATATAAATAGTAGGAGAGATAAGGTAAAAGGAATGTAATATTCTATATGGTAAGAACTCTCTTGAAAAGTTGACTCTCTAGTAAAATACAAACATTGTCTTTCCAAAGAGATTCGATTTGCTGTTTATTCCACATTTCTCGTATCAGATCCGAGAAAAGCCTCCTATATTCTCATATTCATTTGTCTTACATCATTGTCAGAGAGAGGAATCATCCATCTCCTTCAATATTGGGTGAATCATTTCCTCTATTTACATTTAGTGTCATTTATTGTATTTATTGCGTATCATTATTCTCATCTCATTCATTACCGTAACATTTAATAAATATTGCATTAAACCCGTTTTAACATGGTCCCACATCACCCACTTAAACCCATTTTAGATCTAAAGTTATTATCTTTAACTAGGATTAGCCCCTAATCTTTTCATTTAATTAGTTTAACAAAAAGTTTATACTTTTTGGTCAAACAATTTGGTGCCGTCTGTGGGGATTTTCTATTGGAGTTTTAGTTCCTTCTAGATCTAAAAAAATGCAAAAACCCTACACTTCCTTATGTGCACAAATCTAACATGGTAGGCAACAGAGATGAAAAAAGGAAAGCAATAGCCGACCTCACCACCAATCTCCTTCACACCATCAACGAAGTTGATGAAACGGAGAATGAAGATGTAACACCGAATACCTCTCCTAGGCGAAACAGATCGCCCCCTCCTCATGGCAGCATCACAACCTCACACGGTAAAGGGGCCTCTACATCCACTGCAGAAGAAGCATCACCGGCAGTGAAAAAGTTGCTTGAGGCGTGGTTGACAAACACGCTTACCAGCATTCATGACAAGCCTGGTCAAAGGCCGAACAGAGAAGATGCAAGAGTTTGTGTTACATCAGCGACAGATGAGCAACATGTCCCCTTGTAACAGGTATAACTCACAATGTTAGTGATGCAAGTAATGACACTCTCACATCCATTCTGAGGAAAATGGAGGAAATGGAGAACGTGAACAAAATGTTTCGCGACCAAGTGGAAGAGCATCAAGAAAGGATAAACAAAATATCGGACGCCCCAAAACTCCTACCAAAAAGGGATGCCGGTTGTTTTGTTGAGCAATTGTACAACGACGAAGCATCACTACATGCAATACCCAAAACCTTCAAAATGCCACCGTGCCTGAAAATATATGACAACACAATGGACACTGAAGACCATGTGACTCATTACGTCACCATAGTAAATGGCAACGACCTCGCCAAAGAGAAAGTATCATCCATCTTACTGAAGAAGTTCGGCGAAACTCTCACCGGGGGAGCATTGACTTGGTATTCACAGCTGCCCGCACGTTTGATTGAAGCATTCGAGGAGATGGCCGACAAGTTCGTATAGCCCATGCCGGAGCAAAAAAAGCGGAGGCAAGAGTAAATGATATATTTGCCATCAAACAATCACTGGGAAAGAGACTAAGGGACTTCCTTGCTCAATTTAACCGAGTAAGGATGACCTTACCAAACATATTGGAAGGAATGGCCGTGGCAGCCTTCCAAAACGGACTGAACAGAAGTGGTTCGAGGGGGACCAGAAAGCTACTGAGCCACCTCATGAAATATCCCCCAACCACTTGGGACTAAATACACAATGCTTATTGTGTCGAAGTTCGAGCCGACGAAGATAATCTAAATGGGCCGACCCAACGGCTAACTTCGGTACAAGCTGAGTCCAGAAAGGGCCGAAGAAACAACAATATGAGAGATCTATCAGGACCTCGACCTAATCGGGAAAGACATGAGCCTCATGTTAGAGGCACCATCATGCCACCTCTTCTCCACGACGAAGGCCCATCTAGGCCACGAACAGGAACTCACCAAAGTGAGAGAGGTAGCCCCCATTATTATCTACTCACAATTTCTGTGTTTCCCTCTCAGAAATAGTCTACGTACTGGAGAAGCTCGGCCCAAAAGTGAAATGTTCGTAAAAGATGAGATCCGACCTGAGTACCAGAAAGTTAAATGTCCTCTGCGAATTCCACCAAAAGCGGGGTCACAAAACTGAAGATTGTATCGCCCTAAGACAAGAGGTCGTGAACATGCTTCACCAAGGGCACTTGAAAGAGCTGATGAGTGATCGAGGGAGAGCCAACTTCGCCCATAGATGTGAACAGCATCAGGGACCACCCAAACCACCTTCCCCTGCTCGAACCATTCAAATGATCATCAGAGGGGGCAACGACGCATCAATCAACAGCGTGAAGTTCACCACCATCCACAAACTCAAACGGTCGATCACTCATGAACAGTACGACGAACTCAAAGAAAGTATCATCTTCAATAAGTCGAATACCCAAGGTTTGGTTTTTCCTCACTATGATGCCCTTGTCATTACTTTATGCATCTTTGATACAGATGTAAAACGTATTATGGTCGATGATGGGAGCGACGCGTGCATCATCCACCCTCGAGTTCTCGCACAATTGAAGCTCTAGGATATGATAGTGTCACGCTGCATCATACTGACAAGTTTTAACAATGCAGTTGAGTGGACATCTAGAGAAATCATGCTGCCCGTCCTGGCTGGTGGCATCACTTTGGAGACTACGTTCCACATCATGGACCAGGATACGGCATACAACGCCATCATAGGTTGACATTGGATACATTCCATGAAAGCCGTCCCCTCTGGCTTATATCAAGTCATCAAATTTCCCACCTTTGGGGGGGTATTCAGCATCCAAGAATGCTACCGCATTGCCCAAGACTGCACATACACCCAAATATTGTAAGGCAAAGCCGAGGTCGCATAGCAATTAACAAGGTTGGGGTCAGGTGGTGTTAGAGAGAAGGACATTATCAGGGACCCCTAAATCATATGAGCCATATGGTCAACCGTAGAGAATCTCGACCCCGTCCAACTCGATGATAACAACCAAAGCAAGAAAGCTTTCATCGGCCACAAGCTCCAAGAACCAGGTAAATTCCGTTAATTCTTAAAAAGTAATGCGGACCCGTCCCATGCAGACATGCCAGGTATCCCAAAGGAGATAACAACATACAAGCTGAACGAAGAGAATCAGTTGGGGAAGTTCCCTGAGCTTCATTACTCATGTTTATGATCATCTTTACACTGTTTAATCATGGTATTAGTGGAAATTAAGGAAGAAAATTGAGGAATTAAGGCTTGAGATTAAGAGACCTTTGAGTGGGGATTTGAGGGGCCATTTGAGGTCCGATTTTGATGTCCATGATATGTATAGAGTCGTGGGAGGATGAGGATTATATTGATGTAATTTTATCGGATTCCGAGACGTGGGCTCGAGGGCCCGGTTTGAGCAATTTGGGGATTTTTGATGTCAATGGGATATTTTCGAGTGGGCTTTGTTCCCTTAACATATTTTAATGGTTATGTTCTGATTGTGGCTAGATTTGGAGCATTTGGAGTCGATTCGTGAGGGCAAAGGCATCACGGGCTAGAGTTTGGATCGGATCAAGGTGAGTAATGATTGTAAATAATATTCAGAGGGTATGAAACCCCGGATTGCACATCGTAGTGCCATATTGAGGTGACGCACACGCTAGATGACGAGCGTAGGGTCGTGCACTATTGGGAATTGTGACTTAATCCATCTCGAATGACTGTTTACCGCGTATTTGATTGAAAACTATTTGTTATCGTCATGTTTTGGGTTGAATGCCATATTTGGGTTTCGTGCCAACTATTTGAATCCTTAGGGGATTTTTATTTATATTTCCTCACTGTTTGGACTTTATACTTGAACTCAGTCATGCTATATTCTACTGTTTTCATAACTCAGCCATGTTTACTCTGCTTTAACACTTAAATGATTTTTTTAAATGATATTTTGGGTTGAGCACTATGTTTTACTGTTGCCCGAGTGGCTGTGAGATTCTGATTGAGTAAGGCCGAGGGCCTATGTTGTGAGGAAACATTGATTATGATTATGAGTTCGAGGGCCTGAGATATGTACGCCACGAGGTGGCTTGTTGATATGAGGCCGAGATCCTAGTGATGATGCCAAGAGATGGCTTGATATTGCGCTTGGACCGTAAGGGGCCCCTCTAGGAGTCTGCACACCCCTAGTGAGCGTGGGTACCTATTGTGATGTGAGAGATAGCCCGAGGGGCTGGTATTGTTTACATCGTAGCTTGAGGGGCAGTACTTTATATGCTTATCTGTCTTATTTGTCTGTCATTTACCTATTTAATTGTTGAATAGGCATTTCTTGAAGTTTAAACTAAACTTATATGATTTTACACATCTTTACTGAATCGATGTTCTTACCTATTTCACCGCTTCATTATAGCCTATAATGCGCCTTACGTGATTTCATGCCTTCAGTCTTTATTTATGATTATTACTCACTGAGTTGGAGTACTCACTTTACTCCCTACACCCTGTGTGCAGATTCAGGCGCATCTGGTCCCACTACCGAGTGTTGATCTTTCCAGCTCCGGCAGATCCGAAGATTCTCTAGGTAGCTACCGGCGTTCGCAACCTAGAGCTTCTTCCCTTATCTTACTTCTCTTTGTTTTGGATTTGTATTGAACTTTGTAGACTTTCTTGTCTCATTCTGTATTTTTAGATGCTCATGACTAGTGACACCCCGGTATCGAGCTGTGTTGGGTTTATCTTCCGCAACTATACTGTTAATTGCTTACTTTGGATTATTTATCATGTTTTAGACTTAAATTCTTATGGTTTGATTGCTTAAAACTAAAATGGAAAGTATCGGCTGGCCTTGTCTTCATGAGAGGCGCCATCATGACCGGGTTCGGGTTTAGGGTCGTGACAAGTTGGTATCAGAGCCTAGGTTACATAGGTCTCACGAGTCATAAGCAGGTTTAGTAGAGTCTCGCGGATCGGTACAGAGACGTCTGCACTTATCCTAGGGAGGCTACAGAACCTTTAGGAAAACTTCACATTCTTGAATTCATATCGTGCGTCCTTGGTTCAACTTGAAAAGTAACTCTTTGAATTCCTTCCATGCGTTCATATGCGCGCATGAGTGCTCAGTATCGGATGTGCATCGATGGCTTATGATTCCCTAGTCTGGAGTACTTGAGGTTGTGTTTTTGCCTGTAGCTGGAGCACTGAGGCGTTGATTATGTGAGCAAGTGCTTTTGGATTTGTATTGTCGATAGCGTCTCTATTAGGGGGGTGATGACTAGATAGTTGTATGATGAGTATGATGTGACTACGAGGTGTATTCATATGATTTGGAAGCGACGAGAAGGGTCTGCTGGAAGATAGAAGAACTATTAGGTGCTTGATTTTCATCTTGATTTGAGGAATAGCCCCGAGTTTTGGGTGTGTGAAGAATCTTTCATGTTTTCTAGTTGGGGAGTAAAGTAAATTTCATGTTGCGCTATGAGTTCAGGTTCAGGAAGATTAAATGACTGCGTAATGTTTTTGACGGTGGAAGGTATGCAGAAATTTTAGTTTGAGGCAAAGTAGGTGGGTTATCTCCTGCGGAGTGTTCTGAAGTTGTGTGATCCTTATGTTGTTTGTTAGAAGATCTCATTTACAAGTGAAATATATGTGTGGCAATTTAAATTTAGGTCGCCTAAGAGAGTGAGTTTAACTGTTACGAGAGTGAATGCAAGATTTGTAGAAGATTTAAAGTACCAGATGGTTTGTGTTTCACAAGCTTATGAAGGATTGAGTTTATTCTCACTATGGTATTATGGCAGCATCAGAGTATATGCGTTATGAGTTATTGTATGTGTTTTGATCTATGGCTTTGAGCCAAGTGGGGGAGTCTGCTATTGATTAGGTGATTGCACGGCTATGTGCTATGTTGGTTCCAGTTTGAGGCGTACTGGTGAATCAGTTATGGCTTGCAGAGGTTGAGGCTGGGGATGGCTTGAGTAAAAGAAATTTTAATACAAGTTATGCTATGATTTTTTGGTGTATGAGAGTCACGAAATGACTTGAGTTGTTATTGGTAAAGGATGCTTAGTGCATAGGGCAGTAGTTGCTTGGTTGCATTAAGGTGAGGTTACATTCTGCACTATCGGAGTACTAAGGAGGCACAAGTTGTTTGGTCCATTTGTTCAGGCTAATTGCATGTTTGAGTAGAGTGGATGACTTTCGAGGATGGTTCTAATGTGTTCAAGATCTTACATATAATAATTGGAGATTTTCAAGTTGTACTTCTGGCCAGAAACTGAGGTTTGCATTTGGAGGGTGTCAAGACTTGTGGCATTTCTATATCAATTATGGGATTCTATACATCAGTATCAGGAAGGTGAAGGTAATGGATTTAGATTCGCAGGAAGTCTCTTCAGAGTGAAGTATTTTGAATGTGGTGCTTTTGGGAATATTTAAGAGAGTAATCAATGTCTTATGAGTCTTAGACGATGTGGTTTTATGCTTGGGCCTCGTGTGGTGAGTTTGGGTTGAGGAATTGTGGTGTTATAGCAAGAAGAAGTATCAAGTTGAAGGTAAATCAGAAGGAACTTGGATAGATGGGATAGCTTGGTAGTAGGCCGGATCGGTATGGTAAGGATATGATTAGTTCCTTGGGTGCTTATGAGGTAATGAGTTTCTACAAGTATTTTGCAGCAATGCTCTTGGGTTGTAGTGGCCTGCGTAGCTTGGTTGAGTTAGAAGGATTTAGTCCTGACAGATTTGGTTTTGTGCAAAAGGGAACTCAGAGAGTTCTTGATGATTTCTACCACGGATTGGAGGTGTATATTTTCGAATGGCATGAGGAGCGTGGGATGTATAGTGATTTCCTTCCAGATGGGCTCAATAGAAAGTTCTTGGTTGGTTGAGTACATAGTTTCTTGTGGCTCGGAAGGGATATGAAGTTCTCATGTTATCCTAGGCTGGTATGGTATATGCGATATGTTGTGGAGGATTGAGATTTGTGTGTGTAAGGTTACGGTTCAGTTCTAAAAGGGAGGTCACAAGTTCTGGGGCAGAACGGGCAGTTTCAGATGATTAAAGAAAAGGTATTGCTAATTGGGGCGATTTGACGAGGGTATATGTTTCAAAAAAAAAAGAGAAACAAGGCAATGTGATTGAGTTGATGGTACTTTAGTAGTATTGCGGCACTCTCTTGTTGGATCGACTACTAATATTCGAGTTTGCTTGGTGGCACAGAAGAATTATAAGAGTACCTCTCGTGGAAAGATTGGGTATTAGAGGTGTGTTATAGATTCAGATGACAGAATTGGGATCAGATATTGAGGTGTGTGTGCTATATGGAGTTGGAGATTGGGAGTTACCATATTCAGGTCATGTTATGGTTGTGGGTCACGTGTATCGGCACTGTATAGTGACTATCGGGGTTTGGAGACCCGAGTGGGTCTTTTGCTGCTCAGTATGTTAGATTTTGATGTAATACTGGGTATAGACTGATTGTCTTCGTGCCGTGTTATTCTGGACAATTGCGATAAGGCAGCAATGTTGGCTATACCGGGAATTCCATGGATTGAGTGGCGAGGTTCGACGGATTATGTT